CAACCCTCCTCCGTCTCCTTTCGCCCCAATCTCCTCCTCCGCCTCCTCCTCCTCCTCCTCTTCTCCCTGCTGGACGACCTCCTTCGGGGGGGAGCCGTGGGCGGCTCGGGGCCCCCGATAACAGACGCATCTGGGCACGGGCGCTGGATTTCGGGCCCGCCGAAGGAAGATGGAGGACGAGCAGGCTGCGGCGCCTCAATCCGGAGGAGGACGAGGAGGATGAGGGGCGGGTGAGCAGGAGCAAGAGCAGGAGGAGGGAGAGGGGGGAGGAGGTGGAGGAGGCGGGTGAGGGGGAGGAAAGGGGAGGAGCGGTGTGAAAGGAAGGAGGAGGAGGAAGAGGAGGAGGAGGAGGAAGAAAAGGAGGAGGAGGAGGAGGAAGAGGAGGAGCGCGGGGCGGAGTCGGAGGCGGAGGCGGAGGCGGAGGCGGAGGCGGAGGAGGGGGGAAAGAGCAGGGCTGCGCGAGCAGGCGGCAGGAGCCGGAGGAGGAGCAGGATTGCGTGAACAGGCCGCGTCGTCCCAGAGCGCGGGGACGAGGCCCGCGGACAAGCTGAAGGACGCACAGCAGTCGCAGGACTTGCTGCGTGGGGCTTGGAGGAGGAGGAGGAGGAGAAGGAGGAGGAGGAGGAGGAGGACCAGGTGGAGGAGGACCAGGTGAAGGAGGACCAGGAGGAGGAAAACCTGGAAGAGGAGGAGGAGGGGAACGAGGAGGAGGACTAGGAGAAGGAGGAGGAGGAGGAGGAGCAGGAGGAGGAGGAGGAACGCCCAGGATGCATCAATGGTGCTGCAGTGCACTCTCCCGTCTCAGGCCCTCGACTCGTAAGTTCGTGCAGACATTCCTTCTCCCTGCGGGCAGTCCCTCGTTGAAAGACGAACGCCTCATGGGCCTGCAATTCATGCGAGGGTTCCGTTTTGAAAATGACTCGCCCTCCAGTCAACGATACGAGATGCCACAGGGAGGGACCAGGAAGTTTCAGGAAGTGCATAGCCAAGACCCCGGTGTGAATCCCAATCGTCCTCCGTTCGTTCAGTGGTTGCACAATCTGCGTTTCTGGAAATCAACCTGGCGGGTTTTGAAGCAATAGCCCCATGTTCGAAAAGGTGCCGCCCTCATCCCGTATAGTTGAGACAAACATTGTAGAACGAAGGTGCGCGTCGCAATGACGATCGCTTTTTTTGAACACCACCGCGCCTCCATCCTTATATTTTATGTATATTGGCTGGATGCGTTAAAGACGAGTTGTTCACGGCGCTAATGCGAGAGCAAAAATGTGGAAACCATCTCCATCGTTCACATCTTCATAGCCGTTGGAAGCTTTTAAGACGAATGTGTGTGGCACTACGACTGGAGCCACATATGAGAGTCACCAAGCCGCCACTCGTGCGACGATCGGACGGTTCAAGTTTCAGTATCAGAGGTGGTTCGGGGGCCTCAATCGAAGCCTCCAGACGGCCGTTCCGACGCGTCTAGTAATTCGACGGAGCGCACACATCCATGTAGCCAGACGAGGGATGGTTGCTGAGTGAAAGTGGGCATGGGGGGGTGGGGAAGAGGAAGTATGAGGAGGAGGGGGAGGAGGAGCAGGAGGAGGAGGAGGAGGAGGTTAGCACGGATTGATGCTTACACGCTTCCTTGTTGATCACGCCGACGCAGATGATTTTGTCGCGGTACCGTTGACAGTTGAGGAGCCGGCTACCAGTCCACACACCTATCGTTATTGCACCCCGTTGCGAAGGTTTCGGTCTGGGCAAGTTCTATATCCAGACATAATGTGAGAACGCATTTTCATGTCAAGCGTTGTGCATCGCTTGTGTCGGAGAAAACGAGGGGGAGGTCATGCATCGGAGCTGCGACGCGCACAGCGGAAAATAGAATGCAAGGGGCGTGGGGGAGTGCAATGAGTGGAGAATGCGGGCAATTCACCGGCAACCATTCCGAGAGAGAGAGAGAGTGCGCCTTGGAGCGCAAAGGAGAAGGAATCAGTGTACAGCAGGCACCAGCTCGGCGATCACGGGCACTTCATCGCGGCGTCCAGGACGCAGCGTGAACGCGCAGTAGGTGGCGTCAGCGACAGCCACCTCCGAGCGCACCAGCATGAGAAAGCTTGGGGCGAAGTGGAAGTGATGGCAGAACGTCCTCCAGCAGAGCCCCCTCCCGAGCATCGGCAACCAGCGGCAGCACCAGGCAGCTTTAGACTGCCAGTAAGATGTCACCACGAGGGAGGAACCGTAACGACATCGCCATCGCAACAATGATGACCGAAGGGGAAAATATACACTTCAGCGCTCGGACAAAGACGATCCGCTCGGACCTCCGAAGGCTTAGGTTTATGCAGCTGTCTGCTCCCCTGGACGGGGCCCGCAACTTTGCACTCGAGTTCCCACGACCTGGACCCCTCGCACTGCAGCGCGCCCTTGGGCACTGGACAGGGAACCGCAAGATGTACACGCCGAAGGCCACGAAAATCACCACGAATACCACGCCGACGACGAACGCCAGTGCGAATTCTTTTGCTGCGGGCGATCCCCACCTAAAAACGCGAGACGGGATACCAAAGGAGCATCGGCACACTTTGGGCCTGGTGGCCGCGGCATACAGTTGCCATTTGCCAGAAACACGAGGCAGGATACCCAGGGACCGCCAGCACAGTTTGGGCCTGGCGGCCGCGGTACGCAGGGTGTGCGGGGCACGTCAGGAGCTGTTCTTTTGCCCAACCCTCTTGAGTTGGGTTCTCGTTTTGAATAAAGCACTGCGGTCGCGACCCCGTCCTCCTCCCGCCTTCCTCCTCTCTTCCTCCTCCGGCCCATGATGGGATGTGTTGGGCCAAGTCTGACCTCGCGAAGAGTGCCTGATTCCAGGAAGAGCCGTACTTTGACCCACGCGTGTCGCTAAGCACGACGTCGAATCGACGATGAACGTCTGCACCACATGCGGTGCTTACGCACAGCGTCGTATTTTTCTTCTTGGCAGGGACTGCCCGTTGCGTAACATTTCGGGAGCCCCGACGACCCTTCGCCGCACATGCGCGGGGCTGCTCCATTTACCGAGAGGAGGGTGCTCAATTAAGCCAGTCTTCCTCGGCGGGGAGCGGCCTACATGCAGTGTGTTGCCACTCTTCCGCCGCTTCCCGAGGCCAGCCAGCTCCCACGAGGGCTGGAGGCTCTGCCTCAGACATCAGGCACGCACGCGCTCCCAGCACGTGCTCGGGAGCGGGAGGTGGCATCCAGGGCGGCGGCAGCCGCTGCCGACAGCAGCTAAACACTTAGCACTGGTCCTGCCCTCAGGGGCCGCTGATTATAAACATCTCGTCCCTCCTCCTCCCCTCTCCTGCCTCTTACCTCCTGCCTCGCCGCCCTGCCTGGGGACTCGCTGGGCGCTGCGAACTGCCAAATTGTCGCAACGATCGTGGGCTCCTGGGGAGTCCAGCGGAGTGACGCCCTATTCAGATCAGACGAGATTTCGCCGTCGCTTGGGGCTTCGAACTGCGAAAGTGTCGCCACTTTCGTGGGTTCCTGGTCCAGCGGAGTGACGTCCTATCAGATCAGATGAGACCTCGCCGTCACTGGGGGCTGCGAACTGCGAGTGTGTCGTCACTTTCGTTGGCTTCTGGGAGGTCCAGCGGAGTGGCGTTCTATTAAGATCAGACGAGGCCTCGCCGAGTGACGTCTGATTCAGATCAGATGAGACTTCGCCGTCGCTGGGGGCTGCAAGCTGCGAGCCTGTCGCCACTTTCGTGGGCTCCTGGGAGGTCCAGCGGAGTGGCGTTCTAGTAAGGTCAGACGAGGCCTCGCCGTCATTGGGGGGCTGCGAACTGCGAATATGTCGCCACTTTCGTGGCCTCCTGTGAAGTCCAGCGGAGTGACGTCCCATGCAGATCAGATGTGACCTCGCCGGCGCTTGGGGGCTAGGGGCTACGACAATGCCCCCACTATCGTGCATTCCAGGGTGGAAACTGCGTGACTGTCAGATCAGATGTGACCTCGCCGCAGCTGTGGGCCGCGACTTGCGAAACTGTCGCCACTTTCGTGGGCTCCTTGGAAGTCCAGCGGAGTGACGCCCTATTCAGATCAGACGAGACTTCGCCGTCGCTTGGGGCTTCGAACTGCGATATTGTCGCCAAAGCCGTAGACCCCTGGGAGGTCCAGCGGAGTGACGTCCGATTCAGATCAGATGAGACTTCGCCGTCGATGGGGGCTGCAAGCTGCGAGCCTGTCGCCATTTTCGTGGGCTCCTGGGAGGTCCAGCGGAGTGACAGCCTATTCAGATCAGATGTGACCTCGCCGTCGCTTGGGGCCGCGAATTGCGAGCCTGTCGCCGCTGTCGTGGCTCCTGGGTGGTCAGGCGGAGTGGCTTTTTTATGCAGATCATGTGGGACCTTGCCGTCGCTGGGGGCTGCGAACTGCGAATATGTCGCCACTTTCGTGGGCTCCTGGGAGGTCCAGAGGGGTGACGTCCGATTCAGATCAGGTGAGACCTCGTCGTCGCTGGGGGCTGCAAGCTGGCAGCCTGTCGCCACTTTCGTGGGCTCCTGGGAGGTCCAGCGGAGTGACGTCCTTTTCCGATCAGATGAGACCTTGCCGTCGCGGTGGGCTGCGAGCTGCGAAGTTGTCGACACGTTCGTTGGTGCTTGAGGAGTCCAGCAGCGTGCCGTCCTAGCCAGATTAGATGGGACCTCGCCGCCGCTCGGGGCTGCCAGCTGCGAAACTGTCGTCAAATTCGTGGGCTCTTGGGAAGTCAAGCGTATTGGCACCCTCTTCAGATCAGATGAGGCCTAGCTGTCGTTGGGGGCTGCGAACTGCGAAACTGTCGCCACTGTCGTGGGCCTCTGGGAGGTCCAGCAGATGACCTCCTATTCGGATCAGATGTGGCATCGCCGTCGCTGGGGGTTGCGATCTGCGAAGCAGTCGCCACTGTCGTGGGCTCCTAGGTGGTCCAGCGGGGTGGGATCCTAGTCACATCAGGCGGGACCTCGCCGTCGCTTGGTGCTGCGGACTGCGAATATGTCGCCACTGCCGTAGCCTAGTGGGAGGTCCAGCGGAGTGACGTCCGGTTCAGATCAGATGAGACTTCGCCGTCGCTGGGGGCGGCGAATTGCGAACTTGTCGCCACTGTCGTGGGCTCCTGAGTGGTCCAGCGGAGTGGCTTTGTTTGCAGATCAGGTGGGACCTCACCGTCGCTGGGGGTTGCGAACGGCGAATATGTCGCCATGTACGTGGGGGGCTGTGAGTGGCGAATATGCCGCCACTCTCGCTGGCTCTTGGGAGGTCCAGCGGGGTGACGTCCTAGCCAGATCAGATGAGGCCTTGCCGTCGCGGTGGGCTCCGAGCTGCGAAGTTGTCGCCATGTTCGTGGGTCCCTGGTAGATCCCGCGGGGTGACGTTCTTTTCCGAGCAGGTGAATCCTTCCTTGTCGTCGTTGGGGGCTGCGAGCTGCGAGTCTGTCGCCACGTTCGTGGGCTCCTGGGAGGTCCAGCGGAATGGCGTCCGATTCATATCAGATGTGGCATCGCCGTCGCTGGGGGCTGTGACTTGCGAGCCAGTCGCTACGTTCGTGGGCTCCTGGGAGGTCCAGCGGAGCGACGTCTTATTCAGGTCAGGTGAGATCTCGCCGTCGCTGGGGGCTGCAAGCTGCAAATCTGTCGCCATGTTCGTGGGCTCCTGGGAGGTCCTGCGGAGTTACGTCCTAGCCAGATCAGCTGAGACGTCGCCGTCGCGGTGGGCTGCGAACTGCGAATTGGTGGCTACTGTCATGGGCTCCTGGGGTGTCCAGCGGAGTGACGTCCTAGCCAGATCAGATGTGGCCTCGCCGTCGCTGGGCGCCGCGAACTGCGAATCTATCTCTACTGCCGCAGGCTCCTGGGAGGTCCAGCGGAGTGATGCCCTATTCAGGTCAGGTGAGACGCCGCCGACGGTTTGGAGCCTTTCGGCGACATGGCGCGGGCCGCGCTGCTTGTCCAGCGTGGCGTTGGAAGCTCATAGCCACCCTTCTTCCTCAATCTGCCGCTTTCGTTGTCGTCCTCTTCCTCCTTCACCGTCTCCTCTTCCGTCCGTCTCCTGCCCCTCGCTCTTACCCCCATGTTCTCTTCGAGCGTGGAGCCTCAGCCCTGGTCCTTCTATTGCTGTCCTGTGCTGCCCTGTGAATCGTGCAACGCACGGGCATCCCGTGTAGCTTCCACAACGCGTGGCGTTTCCTGTGTTGCCACCATCCATTGTCATGTGGGCCAAGTCATATGGTCACTTAGTGCAAATTGCCTTGGTGCGCCACAGGGTAGTTGTATCTAACACGCACAATTTGTCGGGCGGGGAACAGGGGCACCGCACGCGGCTTATGCCTGACCCGCCTCTCGAAAATGATCGCCAGGTACATCGAATTGGTGTTCAACCGCGTCTCCGCTGATCAGGCCGACAAGGATAGTTCTGTCGCGGTGCTCTGCGGACAGACGGGGGTCCGTCTACCAGGCCACCCATACGATTCTTGCATTCCGCGTCGCGGTGAGGGACATGAAGGCTCAAGAGCTGGCCAGACTCTATTCAGCAAAGCAGTCAGTACACGTGCTAAGTCCAAGCATTGTACATATTTCTGCTCGCACAGAGGACGAAGTGGAGGCCGTGGATGCGAGCTGCGAAATGCACAGCGGAACATATCATTCAATGGGCACGGGAAAGTGCGATGACACAAATGGGTGATGCGACAATGTGCTGCAGAGCAGACTACGAGGGGCCCTGCATCGCCCCTGCGAGATGCACAGCTGAACATAGAATGTACGGGATGTGGGGAAGCGCACTGGCACAGGCGGGGAGTGGGCGGGGAACGCGACAGGGGAGGGGGAGGAGGAGGAGGAGGTGGCAGGAGGAGGGGAGGGAAAGGGAGGAATGGGAAGGGGGGAGAGGGAAGGAAGGAGGTAGTAGAAAAGGCAGCGAGAGGGGGGAAGGGCAGGGGGGCTGGGGAGGAGGAGGACAAATAGAAGGAGGAGAAGGAGGAGGAGGAGGAGGAGGAATAAGAGGAGTAGGAGGAGGAGGGGGTGTGGGAGGAGGAGGAGGAGGAGGAGGAGGAGGAGGAGGAGGAGGAGGAGGAGGAGGAGGGGGAGGAGGAACCACACTGGACGCTTTGATCCCACTCATCTTCGTTTGCCTAACGTCAATGAAGGAGGGGCCACGGGGAGGGGGGGAGGAAGAAGAGGAGGAGGAGGAGGAGGCGATTCGGGAGGAGGAGGAGGAGGAGGAGGAGACGAGGGGGAGGGGGAGGAGGAGGAGGAGAAGGAGGAGTGGAGGGGGGAGGAGGAGTGGAGGAGGAGGAGGAGGAGGAGGAGGAGGAGAGGAGGGAGGAGGAGGAGGAGGAGAGGGAGGAGGAGGAGGAGCAGAAGGAGGAGGAGGTGGCAGCTGCAGGTTGAAGAGGCAGGTTGCTCCTGGGCCCGTGGGCCCCGCCGCAGGATCACGGCCGAGCTCCGGCGGGCGCCGCTGGCCCCGGCGAGCTGCAGGTGGAGTGAGCGCGCGGCCGGCGCT